AGCTAGTGCCCCGTAGCCCGTCGACCCACTGAGCTTATCTGCTCCATTATGGCGGGACCTCACTGTAATTTTTTTTTTCCAGTCAATTGCAGAGTAACAGACCTCTACTTCACCATACCCTCCCACTACACATAACCTTTAAAGCTTTAGCGACGATAACTTCACGCTACTCCTCTCAAAATGGCGGCCGACGAAAGGAACATGCCATTCATCAAACACCTCGCTTCCAGCGGTTCGTCGCCCTCTCCCAAACTAACCACCCCCAACATCCGTAGAGCTAACAAGACTCGCAAAAAAATCTAGATCGCAAAATCCGCACCTCCGCCCTCGACACCCTCCGCACCTTCCTAACCGCACCAACCACCGCCCGAAAACTGACAGAACTGGATTACATGAAGCTATGGAAAGGCCTCTTCTACAGCGTCTGGATGTGCGACCGGCCCATCCCGCAGCAAAACCTATGCGCCGAGCTCGCCGATCTCCTATCCATACTGCCCGCTCCGAAGGACGACGAGTGCGTTGTTGTGATCCCGTTCCTGCGCGCTTTTTGGGCTACTATGTCTCGTGAATGGACGGCTATCGATGTCTTGCGTATGGAGAAGTATTTGTTACTCGTGCGTCGTGTGTTTGGGGCTAGTCTTGCTTGGGCGGGGGATGGGTCGAAGGGTAAGAAGGGCCAGAAGAGGGGGGGTGCGCGCGCTGATCGGATGCTGAGATTGTTTGGAGAATGGCCGCTTGAGAAGACGGGGGATTTGGCGAAAGTCCCTGTTGGTTTGCGATTGCACGTCCTGGATATTTGGGTTGACGAGGCGGAGAAACTCGAATTGTTAACGGGGGAAGGTGACGGTGATTTTCTAGATAAACTGCGCGGTGTCGTCGAGGTGCAAGCAAAGTCTGATTGCAAACCCGTTCGAGAAAGAGCTAAGGAATCTCTGGCTGACGAGAGGTTACCGTGGAATAAAGCAGATTCATCGGATGATGAGATGGCCGAAGATGACGGGAACGGTCAGGATGGTTGGGGCGGATTCGACGATTAAGGTTTCTAGATAGATATGATTCGAAGTTATCTGGCAGGGCCTGGAGTTTGGGCGTTTACTAGAATGGGTATATCCAAGGTTCAAGAAAATCGTTTGGGAGGGTTCTGAAATACGCTTGAAGGCACGGACGGCCAACATACCATTAGGTGTACTACCTAGGTACTATACACGCTATACATATTATTACAAGACGACTCTTCGCGTCCATCTTCTTGGGGTATCTCATCATTAACTGCCTTTCTTCAAATCAACTTCATATGGTGGCTGTCTCCCAGTCCGGCGGCCCGGCCGCTTCATACTTTCCACTTTTCGATAACACGGTACCTAATCCCTGGTGAACCTCGACTTGGAAAGGCTCGAATGGGACATGCTCCCCGTCGATGCTGATATAGCCGTCTTTCTGATTGCGAGGAGTAAACCGGTAGGCGGCTAACTTCCGATACGATACGTGAGGGTTGTCGAACAAGCGGCCGGTTTCAACCGACGTCAACAGTTCTAGATACTTAGCCGCGGAAATATCTCCATCGTTGAACACAACGTCCATCAACCCGTCGTTAGGGCACGCCGCAGTGAAGAAGTTCGCATCGGGCGCCATCCAGGCCATCTATCACTATTAGCAAGTGTGTTATGTTTTACGCAAGGTAACCTTCTAGCACTCACATTTCCACAGTAGAAATTCCCAAGTTTATCGTATGACGCCGTCTCCCAATCGCCGGGGAGCTTGTCGTTGACGGTTCCAAACCTCAATGGCGGCAAGCCCTCTCCAGCATCTTGATCACTAGACGTAGATTCGCCCTCCGAAGACGCCTCCCTCGGCACACTAGCTTCTCTTCGCATCGTATGGTCGCCCTCGGCCTGCTCGCGTTTGTAATGTGCCTTAATATCGGCCTTTTCCGGTATCTCCACTTTCATCGAGATGTCGCACGGGTACACCTTCTTGCTGAATATTCTCTGCATCAACCCAACATTAAACCGGGCGGCGCCAAGCCAGCGCAGATTCTCCGTCCCTAGGTCGCATTCCGCGATGATACCCACCGACTGGCTGAGGAAGCTGAGCATCCGCGCGCTTCCCTGCGTGACGCTCATCAGGTCTATCGGCGTCCTGACGCCCTTGATAATCGCTAGCGCCGCGTAGCTTGGCCTATGTGTACCGTTGAGATTGCAACTCATCGCGTTCCCGCTCCCGCACGGTATATGCGCTATGGCGATCTGGCGGAGGGCCTTGCGCGCGTCCGGACGTTTCCCTAGGCCGTTGATGCATTCATACGGCAACCCGTCGCCTGAACAAGGAATTACGATGTCGTACGCGTTGATGTCGAGGTTCTCGCATATCCCGACGGCTTCGCCGGAAAACTTGGTTCGTACTATGTCTAGCGACATGCGCGCCGCTTCGAATAGGGGCTTCACGTCGTGTTCCCAGATCTTGTCGGCACCGCCGGGGCCCGCGTGCGGATTGACTAGGACTTTGGCGCGCTTGTTGCGCTGAGCCGTTCCATATGCCCTCTTCAAAATGAGATTAACCCACGCGTCCACTGCGTCTTGGGCAAACGAGCCGAGGGAGTACGTTATTCGGACAGCGCGGATGTGTTTCTTCGAGACGGGGTCGGCGTAGTCGAGAATAAGGGAACCGTCGGAGGTTACTTCTACCCAGAGCACATGGTAGAGAGGGATCACGAATCCGGAGGGAGCGTTACCGACAGGAAAGCCACATAGCTTCCGTCGGTGGCGCCTCGACTGGGACTTGTCTACAAAAACGCGAGGCTACGTTAGCTTTGCTTAGATAAATTGTTCCTAGGAAGCCATTAGATACCTTTGATGATAAAATTCTCGTTCGTCAGGGCGAGAGACACGCCATGCTGAAGTAGGAGGACATTATCCACAATGGTTGACGGGGGAGCCGGAATAGAATCGACTAGTCGGAGCGTATTGATATGCTCTTCGGTAGCCATTTGCGGAATTCGATACGATACGGATTGAGAATAGCGAGTGACGTGAACCCGGACGCTAGAAATAAGAAGTAGAAATCAAAACAGTAAACAAAAACGAAGTAAGATGTCAGAGCCTTGATACCCACTAACGTTATGTGTAGTATCGTAGCCGAATATTCATAAGCACATGCATATATAAACGTAGGGAGAGGAATAAGTTTGCTACTTGTTCCTGTTCAGTTTTCAGGGTTCCGAGGTAACCTTCAAGGTTGGAGCTGTCCGTACTTTCCGGGACGCCGATATACATGGTATCCTGATTGGTCAGTTTTATTGGCGTTACATATTCAGGTACTTGTATAAATATGTTTATACGAGATATGAATTACAACTTTGCAACCATCCTGAATGATCGTAGATATTCCATAATTCATATAGATGAGAATTGATTATTTCGAATACATGTGGTGTATTTCTAAGATTATCTATATACCTGTAGGGTAGTGGCTGCTTACTGCAGCATGTACCCCGTAGAATTAGACACTCGCGCTGCAGACCTAAAATTCATAGCATCTCCCTACTGTTCTATCGAGTCATTCAAATCTTAGCTTCGCCATTTCTTCGCGCTGCTAAATTCCTCTCCGAGCCCACGACCAAGGCAACGTGATGGCTCAAAGCAACAATTTCGCCTGCCTTGTCTAAAATAACGACTTCAAGATCCATTCGTCCATTTTTAATACTCTTTGTCCGAACACGCACAAATAGCCAGTCGACTCCTTCGGGCGGCAGAAGCTTCTTGATGTCCAAGTTAAGTACTACGGTAGGATACCAAAAGGGAGGGAAAGGCTTGTCGCCTTCTGCCTTGCGCCATAGATCTTCGAGAACGGTGGGGAAGTGGTCGCATACGAGACCTATGCTCTCATTGGTGAAGTTCTCGCCCGAATCAAGACGTAGCCACTCGTCGATTAAGCCCGGCATGACCTGTCCTTTGAGCGGCAGGAGGGTACGGACCCGGTGAGAGATCTTACGGAACTTTGGGAACGGCTTGTCCGTATGCTCGATCCAGTTGGGGTCTTTACCGCCAGTTAAAAGCGCAGAAGGATTAGCTGGCGGTGGAGGCGGAGGCGGCTCCAAGGACCATAGAGTCTTTAGGGATAGGCCGGTCTCAGCGTCTATATTCGAATGCGTAAGATAGCCAACGACCTCCTCGCGCCCATCTTGCGACAACGTGACATGGATAGTCGACGTCTGCCGGCCGAGCTTGATATCGCGAACCGTTAGAGTTGCCGGGCCTTCCTGAGTCCGCCGTAAGAACTCGAGATGGAGCGAGACTGTGTGAGGCTGGTTCTGCTTCGCAAGCGTTGTGCGAAAATGAGTGGCTGCTACTCGAAGAAACACAGAAGTCACTACGCCCCCGTGGGGAACTGAGTGCATAGGTTAGATCATAGATCTCATCAACAGTTCTATAAGCGAGATTGTAATTACGCACCTGAGCCAACACACCATTCGGTGTTAAAGTTACTGGTATATGTATGCGAGTCTACGGCTGTGATGGCCGTAGCCTCCGCAAATGTCGGCGCCATTTCGAGAAGCAGAGAGCAAAGATGACTTAGGTAAGCTACGTGAAGAATAAGTAAAAATATAAGCCTAAATGCGCACTTGTATAAGCAGGTATATTTATATCATGGTGAGTAAGCAGTATTTAGATTAAATGACATTAATATCCTTATGATACTAGGTTTATGTAAGTAGCTGGGTAACACGCTTGATATGGATGGCTCCGGTTCTGTGGTTGAATATGAATACTTGCAAGGTCAATCGCGACTCAAGCAGCCCAGTAACATCGAAATTTTAGTGGATCGAAAGCTATTGGGACCTCGGCAACTGCCCCACACTTTTACTTGACTACCCGGGTAGGGCCTATGATTACTATCCTACCTGTAACTTCCAAGCTGGGTGTCAAGGATAACAAAAAAAGAATGAAATAAAATAGCAGATTAGATTCAGATACGCGACTTCAAGCCAGAACACTGTTCCGCACCCGACGTGGGACTCGAACCCACAACCTTCAGATTGACCTTTACAAGACTGTATAGAAGTCTGATGCTCTACCATTGAGCCAGCCGGGCTAAGCGGCGAGGAAAAGGCACCCAAACCACGCCTATAATAGGAACTAATCTTTGAGACCAGTCCCAAATAAGTACATACTTCTCACAAATCGCTCTATCTCAACGGTCCCAAATATCATGAGAGTAAACGTTCAAATTTCACAGCATTCGATTGCAATCCTACCTTAATAAAAGGGGATATTAGTAGCGCAGAACAGCACGACAAGCTGCAGGATTACTAAACGAGGATCCCTATTGGGCATAAGCTGCAGGTAGGTACCTACCTACATGTATGCATGTTAGACGTTAGGTGGGTACGTGCTTAGGGGGAATATTTTAGGCAAGCGGATCTACCTAATGGATATCTCTAGGTAAATACCTAGGTACTAGGTATGCAAGTAATTCGAAGTTTACATTTTGCATATTGATATGAATATTGAAGTCAGTTCACGCAAGATACCAACTCTAGAGGATGCAATATGCCACTCGCCTTGTCAATTGCCTACCGCGCGGACGCCGCCCGTATTGCGGAGATCCATATGGCGGCTTTTGGGTCCAATGCTATGCTTCTAGCTCAGTTTCCCACAGCCGCTGTCCGGGATGCTCTGAAACAATGCATCGAATCGAAAGCGCTTGCTGATATCAGCGATCCAAATATCACGGTTCTTGTTGTCCGGGAGAGTAATCAGGATGATAAACATCAAGAAAATGGCGGAACAGTAGTCGCATTTGCTAAGTGGGCACATCCTGCACCTACTGACGGAGACCATATTGAGCCTCCGTGGGTTTGGCCGGAGGGCACGAATTTGAAGATTCTTGAAGACTGGACCAAGAAGACCGAAGAAGCACAAGCTCGCGCGGTAGGTGTTTCTCCATGTTATCGTGAGTACTACCTGGATAAAAACCCGCACGTTTCCTGCGAGCGATCTGCATGGAGATTAACTACCCTCCCAGATCTTAGTTTTATTGGTACCGATCCATCATATGAAAGGCGTGGGGCAGCAACCATCATGATCCAGTGGGGTATCGACCAGTGCAAGAAGGATCACGTCCCCGCCTATCTTGAAAGTACCCTCGACGCAGCACCATTTTACAGGAAGCTTGGGTTTGTAGAGGTGGAGAAATTCTCACTAACCTATGAAGTTGCTGGTTCGGAGATAGCCCAAACATATGAGGAGATTAGTTTCATCTATAGCTAAATCGGCTGTATATTCACGTCGTGGTCTTGTACAGTTTTAGTAGTGAAGGGTCTCCCGTAGTATTGAGAGTGCGCTCATTTCCCTTCTATAAAAATATTGTCCCAGCATTTCTGTCGTATGAAAGACCGCCTAGAACAGCGCTAGCAGTTCTTTTTAGTGCCTACTAATACTTGGAAACAGTACGCTGTAATCTCGCAGATTAGCAAGTGGGTGCTAGACTTATCTCGGTCGCTGTATCAGCCATTGTAATGTAGTGGCTGGAGCCATTATCATGATGGGTACCTACACAGGTAACTCAGCGCTGCAGATAGCAATAATATAGGGAAGCTTGGTGCTAAGATAGGACCCTCCTGTAACCTTTAACCACTAGCTAGTACCTACATATAGGTAACTAGAGGGTCATGGCAATGCAAGCGACACGCCTTTGCAACTAACAGCATGGCGCGGCGCTAAGGGTCTGGTAACCTGGAGGTAAGCTCACGCTTAAAGTCCTCTAGGGCTAGCTATCTATCCGCTGTATCCTAGCGCCTCTACCCCTGATTTCTCCCCCATAGGTGCCCACGGTTAAACCCAGACGCACCTGCTGCGTTTTCGCGTTTTACCACCTAGTCTCCATCCCAGGTAGGTAGCTTTTAGAGTGCAGTGGACAAATAAGACGTTGATATAGTTATTTCGTCAAGTTAGTTTAGCACAATTGATTCTGGCAACATATATCGATTCATATAATACTGATATACTTTATAGAATTGCGCATCCTCCCCTATTTCTGTCACGAATCCTTCTTTATCGCAGCACCGTCCGGATCCATCTGCCTGAACATTTCATTCGAGTCAAACCAGGTCTTAAGTTCCGTGACTTGGAACTCGCTATTGAGATGAGCTACGGTGACTCCCTGGATGTCAATCAATTGTCCATTGGCTTTGACCGTGACCTTCTCCCCATTACTTGAAGAATTCTAGTGTTAATACTAACATCAATCTCTGCTGTAGATGAGTACTACTTACTTGTTTTGGCCCACATAGTCGTTTTTCATCTCACCCCAGTGACGCCACTTGAAGGAGACTACGGGCGGCCCGCTATGCACCTCCAGCACTTCCCAGGCAAAAGCCGGCATCATCCTCTTAAATGTCTTGTGACTCGCGGCAAAATCGGAGTGCTCCGGGTCGTAGTATGCGCAGGGAGAGATGATGGCGTTGTAAGTGCCGACGCGAAGCATGTGTTCCGCTGAGCAAGGCTTCATATCGTTGACGGCAAAAGTGAAGGTCTTATGATCGATCGTCCGCCAGTCCGATAGGCGTGTTTTGAACGATGCTTCGATCTCCCAGTTCTTCACCAAGTTTTCGACTAACTCGGGGAGACTACCGGCTTCATGCTTACATTGTTTTGCTATTGGGTAGAACGTATTAGCTTTATATAGGTATCATTCGATTGGGCGGAAGGAATCGGGAGTTCACATACTTTCCGAATAGAAGTTTCGCGTCTTGGTATAATCTGGGGGTCGAGTATTTCTCCACTCGGCGTCCACGTCTCCAAGCACGGCATTCGGATCTGTCATATAGTCGGGAACAGACGGCTGTTGCGCAACTTCTGGTTGAGCGGCGGCGGCCATCGTGACAATAGGACCAATATCCTGAATACGGTAAACTTCGACCACCGGATCGCAATGATAATAGGAGAGCTCTACTATCAGAAAAGCACATGTGGACACTAGTCGACATCGATACGGGAGCTATCCTGATCCTCTTATAAAGAAGGGAAAGACGCCACCAGTTTCAGGAATCAGCTAGGAGGAAACGGACACGCAATTCCGACTAACACCGAGTTGGCGGCGTCGTCCAGGTATCACAACATGTCTGTGCAACGAGATACCGCCTCTTTGTTCTATATTTAATAACTGGTGGCTTGTAAAATTTGATCTAAATTAAGGGATGGCGGAAGGGACGGAGGGAAGTTGTTGGTGTTTTATCTCTCATTTCGATCGGGCCCGGATAAGAATTCTACCATCAGTTTTGACGGTCTCCTCTCCATCTATCACCCCCACCGGTTCATAATCTACGTCATCCCACTTCTCCCTTGATGTCGCCATCATTTCTTTCGCAGTCTTCTCATCATTGACGAAGGAATCCAAAGAGGTATCAGGGAATACCTTGTGAAGCAGAGCATAGGCGCAGAAGCTCGAAAGGAATCCGTATAGATAGCTCATAAAGTACAACTGCGTCAGGCCATCCGGGACGGCGACGGACGTATTGACCGCCGCAATAAATCCCGGAAGCGTAGGGGCAACTCCGATGACCCACTAAGCAAAGGTTAGACATATTACAATGGACGAAACGCTCCGAAGAAGAGACGACTTACAGCAATCGGAGCACGCCAATTAAAGCCGGCAGTGTACCAATAAATGCTACTTTTATCCCCGCGGTACAAATCGTCGGTCTTGATTTTTCTCCGCGCAACCAACAAGTAACTCGCGACCATCATACCTGTCATCGGAGCTAGAAAGATGGAGTACGACGAAAGAACAGTCAGGAAAATCGTTGAAGTGCTAACCAACTTCCACGGGTTGACGATCACGCTAAGAACCATCGTGATGTACGCTCCCCGACGAATGTTTATGTACCTCGGAAACGTCGCCGCGAGGTCAAATCCGCCGCTGAGGGCATTGCCAGGGATATTTATTCCTACCTGAGAAATGACTAGCGCAAGGCCTGCGAAGAAACAAGCCGCTCTCGTCCCTGCGGTTGGGGAATCGGTAATCAATCGCGAGAGAAGAGTAGGCGGATTCCAGATCGCCTCTCCGCCAAACCTATTTTGCGTAGCCGCCGTGACGAGAATACCGACGACGGAGCACCAAATGCCATAGACCGGGAAGGGGACCGCTTGGCCTATGATCGCATGGCGAGGGTGCTTGGCGAATCGCGCGTAGTCGTTTTGATTGAGAATGCCCGCAGCGATCGATCCGATGGTCGACACGATGCCGTATATCATGAGCCAAGCCACACTATCGGAACCTCCGGTACTCGGGAGCGTAGTGCTAGGGCTGATGGTATCGCCGAAACCCGCCGGTCCCATGGTCGCGAGCGCCCAGATGAGAAAAACGATGAAGAAGATCATCGTGATTGAGCTTGCCACGATGAAGAATTTCTCCAGCTTATGCGGCCGGATCCAGGCGACGGGCAGACTGATGACGCTAAACACGATATATGCTACGAACTGCGCTGTCGTCATACCTGTGTCTTCAGGCATGTGATTCGGGATATGCTCTTCCAAGTTGACGTCCCAGGATTGGAGTATCACGTAGACGCAGGTGCCGCCCACCCAGGCGTTGAAGCCATACCAAACTAATAACCGTTAACGCTGTCGCCTATCATTTCATAGGAAATGAAAATTACCTACCGAGAGAAAGGAATATGCGATTCCAAATAACGAATTGAGATCCCCACATGCCCCATACTGCGCGGTTAGCAACAGGGAAGCCGACTGAAAGTCATTTTAGCACGCAACGGAGAAGTAAAATCGGTAGAGCTCGACGAACTGTTGTAGTAGGCACCTGGAAGAGAGTTGATGACGCAAAAACCTGCCGCCAAGATGTTGCCGATGACGATGCAAATGATTGCTTGCCACCAAGTCAAACCGAGAGGGATCAAGGCGCTTCCGGTCAAGTATGTCGCGATACTAAAATTGACAAGCAGCCAGTAGTTATTGAAGACCATGAAACCCCACGTGCGTCTCGCCGCCTCGATGGGGCGGATATCGTAGTTCTGTGTTCTCCGTTAGCGACAAGTCCCAACGAAACTTCGCAGCTTGGCGCTTACGATCCATCGG